GGGGACCCCAGTGCTGAACTGGGCGTCCTCTGGACCTCGCTTCTGCAGAACCGATGCAGAAAGAGGTGGTGGTGCCACACACGCGGGCTGTTGTGTAAAATAATGCGGTTTGTGTCTCTGTCTCAGGCGACAGCCGCTGCCTCTGTGTCCCCTGCCCGCTCGGGGGCCAGTGTGCGCGTGGCACCGGGGAGGGCCGGCGCGTCAGAGGGACTGAGCAAGCGCAGAGGCTTGTGGGACTCCACACCCAGCAGAGAAGGAGAAATGCCTGCCCGGAGCCCGTCAGTGGGGCCATTATGCCCAGGACAATGGGCTTGTGTCTGCCGACCCGCCCGGTGGCCCGGGAGCCTTCCCGCTGTGGAATGCCGCTGAGGAGCCGGCCCTGGGCGGGCGCGGGCGCGTGGTTGCCAGAGAGACCCAGCAAAGGCCTGTGGAGCGGCAGGTCTCCAGGACCGGCAGAGGGGGCCGGCACGTGCAGGGCCTGCTGCCCTTGTTGGCCGTGTCTCCACGCCCTGTTGTCACCGTGCACCCCAGCTGTCCTTTTTTTTTAAGGGTGGCGGCTCCGACCCACCACATTCTTCTCTGAAAGGCCAAGATTTCCTGCTGAGTCTCCTGAGGATCCCTGTGGGCTGCGGGGTGTGTCTTTCTCCTCCACCTCTGTGCCCCACCCCAGCGAGGGGACAGCCGGGGTCACGTCTGCGTGTGGACAATAAGCCGGAGCGCGACAGGCCGCATCTGGGAACTTCTTTCCAAAGATGCGTGAGGGCTGGTTCCCACTGGCTGCGAGTGACGTGGTTCAGGAGAAACGTATACTTGGTTTTCTGTGCAGTTCCTGGCTCTTGCTCCTGAAACCCTGGGATTCCTACGTGATAAAGGCTCTTTTATTATTCGTAGCCAGTTTCAGCCACACCTCAGCCATGCCAAGAGCTGGCCTTTGGAAAGCCCCTTAAGGCCAGAGGGTTCCAAGGTAGACGCTTCAGGCTCACCCCCAGGGGCGGGGTAGGGGAGAGCAGAACCAAGCACCCTTGGCCAGTGAGTTACCGAGTCACCCCAGCTCAATAAGGCTCCATGAAATCCCCGCGAGATGGGGTTAAAACTGAAAATGTGACACAGGAAGTGATGGCGTTAAGCAGAATGTTGACGGCTGGATGGAAATGGAATCATCTCAAGAGGACTGAAGTTGAGGGGTGTTTTCACGAGCAGAGATTCTGATAGGCCTACCTGCTTCGAGAATTTCCCTGTGAGTTACTGAAAATTAAAGTGTTCGCGTTCTCCAGGCTCTAGGAAATTGCAAGCGGAAGCAATGGTCACCCTGGTGACGTACGACAAATGCCAGTCCTCAAATGACGTGATTTTTTTCAACTTTCGTTGGGGTTTTTTTCTCATCCACATTATGACGAAGGAACACGGAGCTCTGTGTTACTCTCGGCCCTGCCGTCCTCAGGAGCAGGCGCACACGGAGAGAGCACCCCGCCCCGGAGTACTAGCCGCCCTGGCCAGACCGCGGAGGGCCCCTCCCGGGTCTGCCTGTGGCTGACCCTCTGCACCTGCGAGATCACAGCACCCCGGGCGCCTCCGGTAACATCCCGGTGCCCACAAATTCACGCGGTGTTAACTGGACAGAAGGTCTCAACCGATAGTCAGAGGCAAAGAGTTTATGAGCGAATCAAAGTGAGGATTTGAACCTGGGAAGCCGTTTGACAGATTTTAATCTGCGAGAACCATTTCCAGTCAACACAGTTTGAATGTCGCTCTCGGAGGTGGAGCGGGGAGTCACTGACTTTAGAAATGTAATTATTCTTGGCAGGCGGGGCTTCTAGTTCTGCTTATTGCAACCTAAAGAAGTGCTGGGCCGAGGGGAGCGAGGCAGGGTTCAGTCGCCTCCTTTGTGAAACGGGCGGGCGCTGCGGCTGGGCGCAGGCAGACCCGGCCGGCTCTTCCCCTGGCCCTGGTCTTGGTGGGAAGGCCGTTTACCTGCAGGCAGCCGGTTTTGCAGCGCAGCTCGGCTGCAGCCTGGGCGGATGGCCTTGCTCTCCTGCGTGCTGGGGGGAGGGTGCCCCCAGATGTTTGACAGTGTGTTCACAGGAGCACCCCCTGCACATGATCAGGAATGCAGAGCCAATCCACTCCCAGCTGCGGTGTGGAGGCTCCAGGCTGCTGAGTACTCAGTATTTCAGCGGAGAGCCAGGTACTAGATGTTTCCGCGCGTGCCTGCTTTCTGTCTGCATTAGCCCAAATGTGTGTGTGTGGGGGGGGGGGCGAGAGTCGGCGGAAGCCCCGCCTCTGCCAGCAGGGGTGGCTGTGAGGGAGTGGAGGGTGGACTCACTTCCTCCGGTTGTGGTGTCGTGTCGGACCTGGGGTGTAGGAGTGGATGGTCTGTGCTGTGAGCACTCACCTTGTTCCCGGGCAGGGAGGGGGCACCCCAGGACTCCCAAACCTACCTGCTGGCACTCCAGGACCCCCAAAACTACCTGCTCTAAATAGGTCCTGCCATCCGCCGCAGCAAGACCAAACATACTCTTAAGACCTTCCGCGGCGAGGAACGTAACACTCCGTGCACAGTGGGGAGAAGAGAAGAAAAGGACAAAGGACAGCGTTTCCACACCAAGCACCCACAGCCGGCCCTCCCCTCGTGGGTAAACCAGCCCGACGGGGCGGCCCCGAGCAGGGCTGCGAGGCCCCAGAGCCAGCCAGGGTCTGAGGCCCCTCCCGTGGGACCCCAGGAAAGGGGCGAAGGCCCAGCATGTCTGGGACAGAAGGAGCAAAATCAAAATCAAGATAACAGCTGCCACGTGAGCCTCCCCGAGGGTCTCTCGCCCACGTCTGTTTCACGTGCCCCCCAGTCCCTGCTCCAAGCCCGAGGCCAAGCAGCAAGCGCGGCTTCTCCACAGGCCTCTGCTCCCCGCGCTCCCCAGCTGTCCGTCGTCTTCCTTCCCCAGGCTCCGCTCCAGCTTCTCCTCCCTGGGTGGGCAGGGGACCTGGAGGCTCCCCGTTCCCAGGGTCCAGCCTGTTACAACCTCACAGGTGCCCCCGGCCTGCCCCCGGCCTGCCCCCGGCCGCCAGTGGCGAAAGGACTTCCCTCAGGTCACCAGGGGGTCCCGCCCGGGGAGGCCAGGCTCTGGGGCATGGGAGTCCACACCCGCCGTGGTCTCCTGGCCCCTGCGGGGAAATGCCCCCCCCAGGTGCGGGGAGCCCTGCCCAGCCGGAAGCAGGAGCTGCTGCTGTTTGCCCGGCCTCCCCACGTGGGCCCCGCGCCTCCTCACCTGGGCTCCTCACGGTGTTTGTCCCCTGAGTGTTTCCTTTGTCCCAGGAGCAACTCGGCCTCTCTGATTCGACCTGGAAGAATCATTTAGCTTTTCCCTCATCAAAGACCCGTGTGCCCACCGCGTGCCAGGCCTGCAGGCACGGGGCACAGGGCAGTGGACAGTCCGCGGCCCTGCCGCGTGGGAGTGGGCGGCGGGTTAGAGGCGCCCAGGAGCCGGCAGGCGGGCGAGCTGGGCTGCGAGGACGCAACTGGTGACCTCCTGGGCCCAAGCCCCTGCTCTGCCCTCACCCCCGCCCCAGACAGGGCAGGTCCACCGCTCTGCGCCTCAGCTTCCCTAGCTATGAAATGGGGAGACAGTAACGCCTCCTTCGGGGGCTGTTGTGAAGAGGAAACAGGCTAATGTGAGGGAAGTGCTTCAGCTCCCGGCCCTTAGTCAGAGCTGTGAGCATCGCTGACCCGCCCTGCTCTTGGGCACCATTGCCTGTTGGGATGGCAGCCGGACAGACGGATCCTGAGGGGCAGCACGACGTCCTTGGTCACTGGGGGTCGCTGGTCACCGGGGGTCACTAGGAGTCGTTGGTCAATGGGTGGTCACTGGGGGTCATTAGTCACTTGGTGTAAATCACTGGGGTCATTGGGGTTCATTGGTCACTTGGTGGGGGTTACTGGGGTCACTGGTCATGGGGGGTCACTGGTCACTGGAGGTCACTGGTCCCTGGGGAACTGCAGGTCAAAACCACAAGATGTCATTCTGTAGAATGGACATAATAAAAGAGACCACAACACCCCATTTGGGGGAGCACAGGGAGCAAAGGAGCCCCACGGGGTGCTGACGCATGGCTCAGGGGCTGTGACTCAGCTCACCTCCCGGGGAGGCTGCTCAGCAGGTTTCTAAGACACATGAAACATTCACCTTCCCTGTGACCCAGCGTTTCCTTCCTGAGGACACACCCGGGAGAAGTGGAAACGTGGGGGCCGGCCGCCTTGCTCCCCGAGCCCGGCGTGGGAAGCAGGCTGAGTCTGGAAGGAGGAGACAGGCTGGACCCCATGCCAAGGAGGGGGTGTTCCTTGTAAAGAAAGGGCAGATGCAACGTGGGGGCGTCAGCCCTTAACGAAAGAAACCAGACATCCCCCGCCCCCCAAGTAACCAGCCCGCGTGGTTGCGGGCGCTGACGGCCAGGGCAGGACGCAGGAGGCCAGGGCCGGGCAGGGCCGGAGGTTACTGCTTCTGGGAAGAGGCGGGATCCGTGGAAAATAAATTCCCGTGTCTTGGTATCGAATATCTTGCATTTTTATTGTGTGTAAACTACACTCATTAAAACCGAAAGCCCCAAGTGTGACAGGCTGCTGGTGCTCTGCGTGAGGTGAGGGGCACAACCGTGCGGGGGCGTCCTCAGGGTAGCACCCCGCAGAGCGGGACTGAGACGTGGAAGATGGGGAGGCAGGAAGAGGGCGGCCCCAGCCGCGACAGGAGCCCAGAGCTTCAAGGAAACCTCCGTTCTCTGCCCGATTTTGTTTCCTTTTATTTGGGGTGTATCTGAGGCTGGACTGCACCCCCTCCCTGCCACAGCCTTTTTGGTGGACTGTGTTCAGATTTCAGATTTTTAAGTTTTTTTGAAAGCCGTCTAACCAATATAGGCTCTTCCCACGGGGCCGTGGCCGGGTAGTCAGCCCGTCAAAGGAGCCGGACGCGGCCTCGCAGGCACCTGACACCTTCTGTTTCCCTCCAACACCAAAGCTGCAGATCCTGGTGGACACCGGAAGCAGTAACTTCGCAGTGGCGGGCGCCCCGGACGCCTTCATCGACTCCTACTTCGACGCCGACCGGTGAGTGACCAGCGGGGCAGGCCGGGGGCCCAAGGGCGCCTCCGAATCCGCCGAGCGGTTCATTTCAGGCGGGCTGGTTTCTGTGTCTGTCTGTGTGACTGTGTGTTCCTAAGGGCACATATTTGTGTGTGCGTGTGTGTGTTGTGTGTACATGTCTGTATTTGTGTGTAATGGTGAAGCAGTTAAAATGCAGTGCAACGATTGTATATGAGTGTGTACATGTGCGTGATATAGATGTTGTGTGTATTTGTGTATTTTTGTTGTATCGGTGGTTAGACATATACATTTGTGTGTTTCTATAGATATTTGTGCATATGTGTATGTATGTGTACATGTGTACATTGTGTCATGTAGATGCATGTGCGTATATGTGTGCACGTGTGTATAGGTGTGTGTATACCTCTACGTGTGTGTGCATGTGTGTTTATGAGTGTGTATGGACAATGTGTAAGTGTAGAATTGGTGTGTGGACATTAGTGTATATGCGTGTGTGTAGGCATTGGCGTGTGTAGACTTCGTGTGCGTAGATGATGTGTATGCATAGCGTGTGTGTGTAATATCTGTGTATGTTAGATGTTGGTGTGCATGTGTGGGTAGATATTTGCATGCATGTATAGAATCTGGTGTGTGTAGGTTTGTGCATGCAGCTGTTAGCATGTATGTGTGGACATTGGTCTGCGTGTGCTGAGGTTGGCGCACATGTGCCCACATCTGAGTCTGTGTGCAGTGTCTGTGTGGGGACGAGCTCTTTCCCGGAAATGCATCTTCCCAGCAGCCCTGGTGCCTTCTCTGGAGGCCGCCCACTCCGCGCCACGTCAGCGTGGGCCTTCAGTGTCCCGTGGACTTAGGGAAGTGCTGCCCGTGGTGTCACTGAGCCCCTGGTCCTGGGGTGGAGGCTGGAGCCGGGAAGGACCGTGGGCGTGAGGAGGCCTGGGAGGCTGGCTGCCTCCTCTGTGTGGCCCAGGGTCCAGAAGGGGTCAAAGTGGGTCATGGAGACCGTTTCTGAGCAGGGAGGACTTTCTGGGGTTTGGAAACGAGTCCCAGCTGTGAGCACAGAGCCTTCAGGCCTCAGAGCCAGCCTCCACGCCCGCCAAGTGGGCCCTGGTCAGCCTCAGCGGAGGGAGGGGCAGCCACTGGCTTCCCCTGTGGGCCTGCAGCTGCCCCAGCGCCGGGCGCATTTTCATTCCACGTCTGTTTTTGTCACCCTCAGATTTAAACTCCACAGACAGAGCTAGCCCGGGACACGGGGTGTGCCTTTCAGGGTCTGAGCTACCTGCAGACCCTTCTGAGAACCCCCGGCCAGTCTGCTCAGCCTGACGGGCCCATCAGGGTCTTCTGCTCTGGGGAATAAACCCAGCTTCCATCGAGCAAAAGCAGGAGGTTGCATAGCGCCAGGAAACGTGTGACCGTGCGGGTCATTTCCACAGGCTGGAGCCTGACGTGTGGGGGGTGGGGAGGGCGGAGGCCAAGGGCACCATCGCATGGCCCCAGGTGTGGTCTGCCGCGGCCTGGGCAGGAGTGCCAAGCCCAAGCCGGGCGAGGGCGGCAGGGCGTGCCATCACCCTGCTCTAGGACCTTCCGGCTCCGTGTCGGACTCGCTGCGTGGCTGCCCGTCGCACGTGTCCTCCTCGGCCCCCGGGGAGAGCGCCTGGCCAGCCACCTCCATGCCCAGCAGCCAGGAGCTTCGAAGCTTTGCTGTGACCTGTGTGCGCCGAGTGGGGGAGGGGTGTTTCCCGTGTGAGTGTGGGTGTGTGGGGGGGGTTGGCTTCCTCCAAATCCTCCGAACTCCCCAGAGAACTCGGGGCTCCTCCCAGTTTTCTGCACTCAGGAGTCTCACCTCTGCCGCCTTTGGGGACAAGCAACCTGAGCAGCAACAGGCCCCACCACGTGCAGGGGAGCCCCGGCGCCGCCGGGCACCTCCAGCCCTCGGCTTGTCCGTCATCCAGGCCCTGGCTGGCCTCTGCCTGTGGACGGCTGGCGTCTGCCTGGTCCCTCCAGAGCATCACCCTGTGGAGACCCCACCGGCTGATAAATAGGATTGAAGCTGGTTCGCTGCTCACAGCCGGCTGCGCCACCCCCAGCAGCCTGGTTTGGGCCCGTCCCGCTACAGCAGACCCAACTGTGGGCGCTGCGGGGCCCAGGAGGCCCCCTCCACCCTGACCGCTTCACCCCACAGACTTCACCAGAGACAGGTTCGGGTGTTCAATGAAGACTGATGCTATAGGAGCATTTTCTAGAAAAAAAATCTTCCATTTTCTAATAGTAGTTGTAGATTGAATAATGGCGCGAGGGATGAGATAATGACAGCAGCAGCAGCCGTCTCTGGGCGCCCGCTGTGCTCGAGGCTCTGTTCTGAATGTCTATGCTATTAACTCTTCACCGTCCGGAGGAACCCCGGGGCGTGGTGCTCAGCTACCCCACCTTTCAGTTGTGGAAACTGAGGCAAATGCGGGAAATAGGTCGGCCCAGGCCACGAGGCTGGCGATGGAGCCCGTGTTGCTTCATCGTGACGCCCGCGGCTGCTGCTGTTTTCCACCCCAGTGACCCCTGAAACACCACGGAGTCATAAAAAGGAATTCGTAGGCAAACCCTGAGATTAACAGAGCGGGGCAAGTCTTTATTTAGAGGGTGAACAGAAATGCATTTAGAGGAGAAAGAACGGAAGCAAGGGCCCAAGGCAGCAGGGCCAAGGAGGGGCAGGGACGCGGCCTGGGTCTGTGTCTGGGGATATTTAAATCTTTTTTCTCTGTTCTTTTTTTAAAAAGATTTATTTATTTATGCATTCAAGAACTGGGGTACAAGCCAGAGGTGTGGGGGTGAGAGGATTCGCCAGAGACAGAGCTGGGAGCAGAACAGGCAGACTGACTGAAATACACTGCTGAGGGGAGCAGCGGGCGAGACAGGAGAGGTCTGCTGCGCCATGTGGGTCACCTCCCTGGCCGGGGATCGAACTCATGCTGCAGTGGCTGCGGGTAGCTTCATAGGTTGTGTCTTAACCTCTTGCACCACCAGGGAGGCCCCTTGCTGCTATTTAACAAAAATATGTGCAGCCCACCCGCTCCATGTGCCAGATCCTGCAGCTGCTCTGGCATTCAGACAGGGCACCTGCCGGTCCTCAGGCACCCGCGCTCCCAGCCCTGACTCTGCGCTTTGCCTGTTAATGCCTGGCAGGCCCTCAGCATCCGGCCAGGTCCGTCCACTCCCGTCTGCACCTGCCCTTGCCCAGATGTATGTCCACCCAACATTCACTGTGCCACGTTCACTCTAAGATCTGAGTTTACTTAGAAAGTAAATAGTTACACTAGCGAAAAGGGCGAGTCAATATTAAGTAATTATCCAAGCTAAACATTCTTATTTTACCTTCCATTCTGAACTTAGAACAAATGCAATTGCTCCAAAATTAGTGCCAGACATTTCTGAAATAACTTCTTTTTCCCGATTATGAAGTTATCTCCGTGGAAAATGGGGACGGGCCTCGCCACGGGAATGAGTCTCCCACTGCCCCCACCCAAAGGTAGTCGCTCTCGACGGATGGAAGATGCTCTTGCCTGAATGTTTTCCTTTCACCTTAATGTTTTCCTTACGACACTAAAATATCTTAATAAGTAGCATTTCTGCGTGGGGGGAGTGTCCTGAGGGTCCGTCCTCAGGGCGGCCCTTACCTTTAGCATGTTCAATGCTTGGGCCTCCCTGGTGGCGCAGGGGTTAAGCCTCAGCGCTGTGAAGCTATTGCCAGACACTGCAGCACGAGTTCAATCCCCGGCCAGGGAGCTACCCACATGGCGCAGCAGACCTCTCCTGTCTCCCCGCTGCTCCCCTCAGCAGTGGATTTCAGTGGATCCGCCTGTTCTGCTCCCCACTCTGTCTCTGGTGAGTCCACTCACCCCCCGCACCTCTGGCCTGCACCCCAGTTCTTGTATGCATACATAAATAAAAATAAATCTTTAAGAAAAAAATAAAAAGAAAGAGGTCATATCATGTGTGATTACTTTCCTCTGACCCCGGACAAGACGGCACTGGTGGCGTGACGCTGCAGCAGAGACGTCTATCATGTCTTGCTGTTCAGAGACTGGCCTGTAAAGTGGGGTGAGGGGAACCTGCAGAGCAACAGGAGCATTTCACGTCAGGCTGCTCCATGAGTTGACTCTGCTGTTAAGAATTTGAGGTTTTCCCAGGAAGGGCGCGGTTTGAATGCCAGATGTTTGCCGAGGCTGCTCCTTGGTTCCTGCCTCCACATGATCCGGGTGGCACCGGAAGAGTGACTGACCGTGGGACTGACACCCCCGGGCCTGAGGGCCTTCCCAGGCGTCCTTCCTGGAGAGCAAGGCTGCTTGTCTTGGGGGAGGGCTCACAGAGTCCTAGCAGAAGCCTGGGGGCCCCCGCTTGCTCATCCCCCCTCCCCTGCTGAGCCCCTGGACGGCACTGCCCCCCCTCCCTGGCCGCCTGGGTGCTGTGTCTGAAATCAGGGTCTCCTCCTGCGCCCCACACCCATCCGCTGCACTCACTCGGGGGGCTGTGTGTGTGAGTGTGTAGATGGTGTCACGTGTCAGCAGTTTCACCCCCTGTATTTGGTCTGAGACTACCCAGCTTTGGGGCGGAGGGCAAGGGGTTGGGGGTGCCCCAAGGGGAGGCCCTCGGTGTCGGGGGTGGGCTTGGGCTTTGTCACACTGGATGTCGGGGCAGCCCTGAACTCCAGGCCGCTGCTGGGCAGGTTGGCGTGGCCTCCTCGCCGGCCGACCCTCCTGTTGGGGCCCTCGAGCCGAGGTGGGCCCCGTTTGGCCAAGCCCCTGCCGGCTCAGGCAGCCCCTGGGCGCTTCCCTCCCGGGCCGTGGAAAGCCTCCCCAGCGGCCGCGGGGACGGCGGCTTCGTCAGCTCTGTCGGCTTCTTCCCTCTGAATACAGCATTCATTTCAGTTTTGGTTGTGTTTTTTCTTCGCTTTTTGTCACTTCCCGACTGACAGGAGCCACGTTCGTGTGCAGGGGTGAGCCCGTCCCCACCGGCGGCCCCGAGCGCCTCCTCTCCCCCCCACACGAACCCCACCTTCATGTTGGAACTCAGGGTGCCCGGGTGTGGCTCTGCCCACGAGTTCTTTGGAATAATGAAATATTCATCCTGGCTTCTCGGTGGGGCCCTGACAGAGCAGTCCCAATATTGGGGGGCTGTACGCTCACACAGGGTCTCCTGTGTCCCAGCCGCTGGGGATGCTGACGGCAGGCTCCTGCCCGGGGATTCTGGGGAGCTGCCCGCCGTGGGCTCTGTCAGGACGGCCTCGGCGGTTCCGAGGCGGACACAGCAGCAGCTTTTCTCTCCCGCTCCAGGTCCAGCACCTACCACCCCAAGGGCTTCGACGTCACGGTGAAGTACACGCAGGGCAGCTGGACCGGCTCGGTGGGGGAGGACGTGGTCACCATCCCGAAGGGCCTCAACAGCTCTTTTCTTGTCAACATCGCCACGATTTTTGAGTCAGAGAATTTCTTCTTGCCTGGGATCAAATGGAATGGGATCCTCGGGCTTGCTTACGCCACCTTGGCCAAGGTGAGAGGATCCCCCGGCCTCAGAACCAAACGATGGGGCGGGGCGCTGCAGGGGCGGGTGGACGTGGGTCCAGGCCTCCCTGGGATGGTAGGGACAGCCCCAAGGTGGGTCAGATCTGTGTTCACACACTTGTATTTCTGATGACATTTCCTAATACATCAAGGAAATGTATATTCCTTAAGAAGTCGTATTTCTCACATTTTTGAAGTGTCAGGTGATGGCATGATTCTTTGAAGCTTCTGCAGCAGCTACTCAGACATGAGTTTTTGGTCTCCTGTCTTTGTTTACTTTGCTGGTGTCACATAAATGGTGACAGGATCTGAATCACCCAATGATGCTGGTCAGGAGTGTTTGCGCAGGTAGGGGTGTAAGAAAGCACATGTATTAGCTCCATGCTGCTACGTGAAGATGGGCTCTGGGGGGCTGTGTTGGAGCCTCCCAGTCTGGGTGAGGGTCCTCCAGGCTCCAGCAGCGCCCTGTGGCTCTGCCCTCCCTCCAGAGCACCCCCAGGTGACACCTGCAGCCTAGATGGGAGTCTACCCGTGGGGTCACCAGCCACAGAAACTTCTGGAATCCTTTCTCATTAGTGTCAGAACCTTCACAGAATGGAGAAAGACAGAATTCTGCAAATGTTTGTACTCTCCAGCTGCACGAAGGAGCAATCGTGGTGTGCAGAAAGGGCAGGCGGCTGGCAGCCTGGGAACGTCCACCCCGAGGGCTGCCTGAGCAGGAGGCCAGCCCGGGGGGTGCCCAGGCAGGTTTGCCTGCACTGGAGCCACATGAGGTCACCCCCAGCCTCTCGCTGCTCCTGAGGAGGCTGGAGCCAGTGGCAGGGCAGCTGCCCAGTGGACACACAGACCCTCGCCCACGAGGCTCCCCAAGGAAAAGCAAGGGAAGACCTGCTTTCCCATCCAGGGGGACGTTCACTGGGGTCAAGTTGACGTCACACTCCAGTTCTTGTGTGCATAAATACTTAAAAATAAATCTTTAAAAAAAAAAAAAAAAAAACAAGAACTAACCACTCAGTAACTAACTCTAATTTCTCCCGTCTTTTTAACTTCTCTGTCCAAGCCAAAATCAAAATTCAGGTCTGTTGTTTTCCTTCACGTCCGCTCCAGCCCGACCAGTTCACAGACCAGCTGCCTTTGGGGTCCTGGGAAGGGGGACCGCTCTCTGCACCCTGATGCCACGTGGGGGTGTGCTCCCCTGGGCAGTGGGAATTCTGAGGCTTTAAAGGGGGGGGGGGGGGGGGGGCGGGCGGGGCAGGCAGCTCTTCCTGCAGAGCCTTCCCTATTGCCTGAGGTCAGTAGGCAGAGCTAAGCCGCCCCCCAGGCTCTGGGCACCAGGGGGATGCTCCTCGGGGGTCACACTCTCCTGCGTGTCAGGGGCCCCTGCAGCCTAAGGAATGAACAACAACTTTCTGGAGCTGCAAAGGTAGTTCCTGGAGAAACTGCCCTCTCCGGCCCGGCCGAGGTCTAAGATCAGAATCCGAGGAGCGTGGCCGCCCACGCCCACGTGTCCTCACGCGCCCACCAGGCACTGGGCTGATGGATGTGACGGCATCCTGACAGCTTCTGGAAACGCGACCTTGTTGTCATGACAGCCGCTCCGGCCGGAAAGATTCCGAGTGGCCGGGAATTCGGCCAGAGCTTTCTCGGCTATTGGACTAATCGCCAGCGTGGTTATTGTTCAGCCACGGAAAGGAAATTAACAGGAAAATCGTACCGTGTGTCGTGCGAGGTGTGTGCCCTGGGGCTCTCCTCAGCTTCAGGGCCGTGAAACAGCCGTCCTCTCCCCCCTGCAGCCGTCAAGTTCCCTGGAGACTTTCTTCGACTCCCTGGTGGCCCAGGCGGGGATCCCCGACCTGTTCTCCATGCAGATGTGCGGGGCAGGCTTGCCCGTGGCCGGATCCGGTACCAACGGAGGTAGTCTTGTGGGTATCTCTCAGTCCTCGAGGGGTGACGTCACAAGTGGAGGGGCTGTTTTCTCATGTGTTAAGCCCCCGAGGGAGCTATGAGACACGGCGCTGTACAGACGTTGTGAAATTGGGATCATCTTTGTCTCTAGAGCCTTTCAAAAGACTGGATAAAATTAGTTATTTTTATCTTTTCTAATCACCCTGTCATCTAAAAGAAGAGCCTCATCTGCCCCCAAACTCCATGAAAGCTTTTTAAGATTTTCCTTTAGAAGGTAATGGTGTTTGGGGGGTGGGGGCGGGGGAGTGAGAACCAGCTGGAGGGGCTTTGGGTGGGTCTTACTCTGGGTAGGGAGGTTGAGGGGGTGCCCTGTATGTCATAGATCTGGTGGGAAGACGGGACGGAGACCCCTGTCCTCTCTCTCACCCTATCATACATGCGCACACGCACACACACAACCCCCCAAAAAAGTCATTTGACAGTGACCTCAAGGCTGTGAGCACGTGTGGATGTGCTGAAGCCGGCGGGTCGCTGAGAGGGGCCTTCACCCACGTGCATGACGGGGAGAGGGCCCGAGCAGGACCCCTCCCCAGGGCGCCCCGCTGCTGACGGCGGAGTGCGCCCGCACGCCACGCCTTCTTGCGTTTTCCAGGGCAAGGGAGCCTCGGGGAGGCCGAGCGCTGGCGGGAGGGGGAGACGGTTTTGCAGAATGAAGTTAGTTTGCACAGGGAAGCCCTTTTGTTCTGCTCTCCATGCCACCCCCTCTGTCTTCCGCAGGACTAGATCACCGTCGGTCTATGCGGCGAACTATTTTCTTCCATTTGGGGGCAGAACCTCGATACTGTAAACGAGGATTGTATATACTTCCTTTTAGTAAGGAGCCCACCCACACCTCTTGACTAGAAGGGCCGTGGTGGGTTTGACCTCGGGGTACAGCGCCCCCGAGCAGTCCCTGTTTCGTTTCCAAGGGTCTCTGTTGTGTAACCCCTATAAAGCGTAAGAACCGGCTGGGGTGACAGCTCCCTGGAGGCGTGCAGGCCTCTGGGGTGACTTGCTGGACGCCTGTGTCGTCTTTGTCTTACAACCTGTGAATGCTTCTCTTCCCAGGTCCTGGGCGGAATTGAGCGGAGCCTGTACAAGGGAGACATCTGGTACACCCCCATTAAGGAGGAGTGGTACTATCAGATAGAAATTCTGAAGCTGGAGATCGGAGGCCAGACCCTTAATCTGGACTGCAGAGAGGTACTGACGCTGCGCCGTGTGCTGGCCCCTCTGTGTGTGCCTGAGGCACCTCAGTATTAGCCGGGCCTGAAGATGAAGTCAGGAGACGATGACATCGTGAGATAAAACAAAGCCTCATCCCTTAAGACAGTGTGATCACGAGCTCCCCTCCAAGGGAATCTGCGAGCTCCCTCCTGGCTTCGCGGGGGATTAGCATAAGACGAGGTGTGAAGAGAACACCTCCCAGTGCCGGGCTCCGCCTCCTGGGCCCTGGACCCTGCTGAAGATGAAATAAGAGGGACTAAAAATAAGCAAAACGAGACCCAAAATAACCCATCAGCTTTCTCCTCCATTCACAGCGAACCCCCCCCCCCAAGTACACTGTTCTCACTCGAAGAACAGCTGAGCTGTCCAGACGGCCGGTCGGGCACCCCCACCCCGGGTTGCGGCCGGGACTGTGCGCGCCGGAGGGGCCTTTCCTCCAACATTCCCGGCACGGGTGATGCAAACCAGCGTCTCCCACCGCCCATCGCCTCCTCGCACGTAGCCCCCACAGCCCACTGAGCCTTGCGTGCACGGAGGCCTCAGGGAGACCAGCCTAAGGCGGAGGAAGCCTCGGTCCTTCCCTTGCCATGCGCCGTTCCCACGTCCACAGACCTGTGGACCCCAAAGGCCCTGAGCTGCCACTAGAGAGCCCGGTGCAGATCCCACGTGAGGTGTCAGCCACAGACACAGCACACGTCGTACGCGTGTGTGTGCATGGGGGGGTGTGCAGCATGTGGGGTGTGTGCATGTGATATGTGGGGGGGTGAGTGCACCGTGTGTGTATCTGGTGTGTGTGGTGTGGTGCATGTAAGTGTGCATGTGTGTGTGTGAAGGAGAGAGGTTCTCCTCCAGGCCCTGGGTCGGTCTAAATGCAAATAGCATTTCTGCTGCGAACCCCCCTCCTTCTCGAGGTCCTGTGGCCTGTCCCTCCCACACCCGGGCTCCCAGACAGGGGGTCGGGCACCTCTGAGGAAGGGGGAGCTTTGCCCCAAGGCCTGAGGACCGCGGCCCCGTGCCCCTTCCCTCCAGCTCCTGGACTGTGACCGGAACGGGCCGGGGGGCTGGGCCGACGTGGCGGTGGGGGGGTTGGCTGCAGCGCTGCCATGGTACCCAGTCTCATGCCCTCCTCCCCGCCCCCAGTACAACGCGGACAAGGCCATCGTGGACAGCGGCACCACGCTGCTGCGCCTGCCCCAGAAGGTGTTCGACGCGGTGGTGGAAGCCGTGGCCCGCACGTCGCTGGTGAGTGCTGGGGGGCTGAGGGCCGGGCGCCGTCAGGGAGTGACTGGGGGTCAGGGGTGCAGGCCGGGGTTCCTGAGCACAGGTGGGGCTACGGGGCGCGGGCTGGGCGTCAGGGCTGGAACTGCTGCCAGGTGTTCTGAGTCTCTGCTGAGGAGGAGGATGCGTTGGATTTTTAAACTATCGCCAAGTTCTTTGATGTTAACCAGCAAATCATTCCTCTCTTTCGCCGGAGAGATCCTGGATCTAAGTGGCCAACTCGTAGTATTTCGAGTAACAGAATGTAGCCGCTACGGCACTCATTTTAATCTAAGGAAAAACACCTGCTTGGTAATAAAGTACTATATTGAAGTGAGTCGCAAACCCGGGATCTGTAGCTTCCAAAACAAATAAACCCAAAATGGCACTCCTGGGGCCTTCATCCCGCGGTGCTGGGCCTTCTCCTTCTGTGACCGGGGGCGGGCCCGGGACATGAGGCCAGCTGGCCCCCAGGATGACCATTTCCACTCGCACTCAACACAGTGACCGTGTGGGCTCGGACAACATGCAGATGGCGTTCCCGGCATCACCCCAACTTTCTGCTTAGTTCAGGGCAACTGTGGGGACCACAGCTGGGGGCTGAGGCTCCCCCTGCCACACCAGACGGCAGGTTCAGAGACGCTGCCGGGAAAGCGCAGGGCAAGGACGCTGCTCCGTTGCAAGGACGCAGACCCTGGCAGGTGGTCGTGAAGACGAACTTGCACGGTCTACAGGGCAGCGGCTGGCGAGGAGAGGAACTGGCAGGGCGGCCGAGCCGCGTCTGAATCAGGTCTCCAGGGCGCTGGCCGAGGAGCTGCCCCCAGGCCAGGGCCCAGGAGCCCTGCCAGCGGCTGCTGAGCCGCTGGGGAGGTTTCCCGTGTCTGAACTGTGGACGCTGCTGCGGGTCCAACGTGCGGAGCGGCTGACTCTCTTCACTAGCGAGCCCCCAGCAGGCCCCGCGGGAGCGACCCCGGGGCAGTCTCCTGCGCTCTGGCTGTCCAGGCCTGGGCCTGTCTGGGGGCTCCGATGGCCCCGGGCTGGCCCTGGGGCTGCACGACCTTGGCCTGGGCCTCCTCCCTGTGCCTGCATCGGGGTGCGGGTGTGAGCGCTGCGGAGGCCAACGCACCAGCATGTGCTGGGAGGGGCTGACCTGGTGAGAAAGCACCAGGCGGCGGGGACAGGATGACGGCATCCGTTTGCTCGTCTAAAATTATCCCGATTCCGCACCTGCATGGGGTGAGGTGGGGGAGGGACCGGGACGGCTGCTTGTCTGGGGCAGGGGGGGCCTGCGGGGGCGGCTTCGGCGTGTCACCACGGAGGGGTGTGTGTCCTCGCCGGCAGGTGACCAGCCGAGTCTGGCTCGGTTTCCTCTGCTCAAGGAGAGGGCTGGCTTCGGGGAGCCCCTAAGAGGCTGGGGCTGCGTCTCCTGGCGTGGGTTGTTGGGGCTGGAATGAAAGGCCTGTAAGGTCCGGGTTTTGAAGTGCGCCTGTGGGGGGGAGGGGGTGTTGCAGGTGCTGCCCGGCCCCCGCGGCTGTGGCCCTGCGGCTCAGACCCAGGGCTTCTCTCTCTGAAACCCAGAAGCAGGCGGAGCCGCTTTTCTGAGGTTTTTGTGTATTTGTTTATTTAGGAGAAAACATAAAAGACCTTGGGCGTGGCGATGCCTTGCTGTGTTACTTTGAGGTCACTGAGGTCTGCACAGTAGATCACCCAGATTCTGTTCTCACCTAATGAGCTCCGAGACCCAGCTCCGGCTTCCAGCGCTGAGGTGGTTTGGGCTTGGGAAAAGCTCCATCCCAGGGACCCCAGATGAAGTAACTGGGGAGCATGGGAGTGGTCAGCGCGGCTTGGAGGACGAGGGCTGGGGGACACCTGAGAGACAACCTTTGGGGTGGAAACTATCCCCCAGGCCATGTGGTTTATCCCCCAAGACCTGCCAGACTTTGGGGAGCTGCCTTGGAGGCAGACGACCCCCCCCCCCCACCAGGGCTGGGCCAGCGCAAGGCTGCAGCTCTGGGCCGTCGGGCAGCAGGCCCGGCCCCGCTCACCCCTGCAGCCTCGCAGAGTCGCTGCTGCCCACACGGCCATCCTGCCCAGGGGTCCTCCCGCGGCACAGACTTCAGGTCAACTGAGCTGTGGTCAAAGGCCAAAGCGGGCAGAGAGCAGCGTCATGACCTGCGGTGGAGCCCCCACATGGACGGGTAGCACCCGGCTCTCCCCGCCCGCGTCTGTCTGGCAGGGGCGCCGCGGGCCCGCAGGGTGGCCTCACCCGTGTCACTGACCCATCTGACCTCACAGCACCCCCGCTGGCCTGTCTCCCCGTGCCCTGGCTGCCGTCACCCCTCGTCCCTGCATTTCCTCCCATCCTGGATCTCTCCGTGGGGTCCCTTTGCCGCCCCTCTCTCGGGGCAGCTCCCCAGCCCCTCACTTCGAGGGAGCCCCCTCTCGCCTACGTCATGACTTCCCACCACCGGCAGTGACTCGCGGGGCTCGTCCAACCCTGTCCCCCCTTAGGCTAGGGACTGAGGGCCCTGAGAAGCCACTGGACACCGTAGTCACGCCCAGTGCCCGGGGCCCAGGGCTCGAGCAGTGCGCTCTGGTGGAGCCACAGCAGCGCCTGGTTCCCTCCCAGCCGTCTCCACTCACGCCCTCCTGGCCCCTTCGCAAGTGCCCCCGCTCCCCTGACCCCCAACTGCCCCCACTCCCCTCCCCCAACACTGCCCCCACTCCCCAGCCCACCGTTGCCCCCACTCCCCAGCCCACCGTTGCCCCCACTCCCCCCACCACGTGCCCCCACTCCCCTGACCCCAACTGCCCCCACTCCCCTCCCCCACCACATGCCCCCCACTCCCCTCCCCCACCACGTGCCCCAGCTCCCCCCACCACATGCTCCTCTAATTGCAATTACCCTCCGGAGCCAGCGCTCATGGGCATGCGCAGGTGGCACTGCCCAGCCGCTCCCTGATGAGAGGCCCAGATGGATGTCCTGTGCTCTTGGACCTTAACTTTCCCCACAGGCAGCTCCCCAGTCCCCTGCAGGCCGGGTGTTCAGACTACAAGGGAGACGCAGCGGCAGATCTGTCTTTAGGGGACCCTCCAGAAAGCCAGACGTTAATCAGTCTCACCCCTAAATGTAAAATCACAGCTGCTGCAAGGACAGAGGCCAAGGACGAGGGAGGCGCAGTGGCTGCCAGCATCGCCTGGGGAGTCGGGGCGAGCTTCCCGGATGAGGCGGCATCTGCGCGGGGACAGGGCAGAGGAGGGGATGTTCGGAAGAGCTGAAAGCGCCCCCATGCGCTGCACCAGGAGGAAACTAGCTGGCCTCGGGGGACTGGAGGAGAGCTGAAGCCCGAGAGCAAGCAACCACTGGGCACCGGTTCTCCCTTCTCCAGAGGCGTTGGCCCCTGCCGGGTGGCCTTCGGCAAGTTACTTGCCCTCTCTGTGCTGTGGTTTCCCTCTGTCAGGTGTGGGGGATGATGTGGCCAGAGGACGCAGGTGATTACAGCAGCAGAGCCCTCGGTCCCCGACACGACGCGGGCGCCACCTGCCCGGGTCGCCTGGATGCTTGTACCTCGTCTTCGTGGCGATGCTGCCAGAGGCCTGGTGTCTCCGCTGTGCCGTCACATTAGGCCTTGTTTATCCCTGTGGGCATCTGGCGAGGCGACCAGCGCCAGGAGCTGCTTCCTGTTGACGCACCAGACTAGTGATCGTTTCTCCCCTGGTCTTATTTTGTCCAGATTCCAGAATTCTCGGATGGTTTCTGGATGGGGTCCCAGCTGGCATGCTGGACGAATTCTGAAACCCCGTGGTCCTACTTCCCTAAGATCTCCATCTACCTGCGAGACGAGAACTCCAGCAGGTCCTTCCGCATCACCATCCTGCCTCAGGTATGGGCCGGGCCCGTGCTTGTCCATGTGACGGGGAACCCTTGAGCCAAGCCCTCCAGCACGAGGCATGACGGGCGTCTGGCCGTCACCCCAACTCTCCCAGCGCACGCCCAGGGCTGTGGCCGGCGCCGAGCGAGTGCTGCCGCCTGCAGTCTGGGCAGGTGGCCCGGCCCCTGAGCTGGCCCCCGGTCTGGTCAGGGGTCTTGGCTGGGTCCGGGGTGACCACGGGTGGTCTGGCCCCCGACCTGGCGCCTGGATGGAGGGAGGCACCGTTGACTCCCCGGCGCTGACGCGCGTCTCCACGCACTCCAAGACCCGCTCGCTTCCTGTGAAATTATCGCAGATGAATCCCCCGACGCCGCAGCGCTCAGCCGCGCCCCCACGTTGCGCCACCAATGGCCACTTGCTGGCGTGGCTTTTGATGACGGCCTGGCTGGGCCCTTTCTGGGTCTCTGGCCTCTTTCCCGCCCGCCCTCGACCCTGCCCGCGTGGGTCACATCACGCTTGCCCCCCATCTCCTGACCTTTGCCCCCTCAGGCTCCCTCTCCCCCACTCGTCTGCGAATCCACGGTCTCCCGCCCTCAGGACTGGCTCAGACAACCCCCCTTTGTGCAGCTCCCCTGGCAGAATGGCCCTTTGTGCCTCCCCTAAGCCGCTCGGCGGTTTCCAGTCTGCTCCTGGCGCGTCTCTCTCCAGGGTGCGGTTTACCCTGCCGCCCTTGCTCTCCTCCAGCACCCACATCTGCTTCTTCCTCGAAGAAGCATGAGTCAAGAAGCATGATCATCCCCCTGCCCTGGCGGGGGCACCGTGGGGCCACAGCACCTGGGGGAGCGTGACCGGGCGACTCTGTTGTGACTCGGGGAGTGGAATAAAGGGGTGGGACTGGAGACCGGGAGGAGGAATCATTTTGGAAGAAAGAAGCCAGCGATGCTACCGCCTTCGGCCCCATGGCCATCCATCCGTGCATGTGGGGACCCGCGGCCCCTCGATGGGGCTGGAGCTGCAGAGCCTGGAGAAGCCCCTCTGCGAGCCGGAGGCGGGAGTCGGGGGCTCGGCACGGCCCCTGCCCGGCGCTGTGGCGCTGAGCCTGTACATAACCGCGGGCTGGGGACGGGCAGCCCCCGTGAGGGCGGGCCTGTGTGCGGTGCCCCTTGGGACCCCTGCGTGACCTCCGGGGCGGGGGTGGGGAGAGGCCAGGCCGGGGCCTCCTCCCCGTTTTCCCTGGAGCCCCCGCCTCGCCCAGGAGGCCTCCACGCCCCGGTGACGGCCTGGCCCTGCCGCGCCCCTGATGCTTTCCCCCGTTGCGTGCCCCTCGTCCTGCCCAGCTCTACATCCAGCCCGTGACGGTGGCCAGCCTGAGCTACGAGTGCTACCGCTTCGGCATCTCGCCCTCGGCCAACGCGCTGGTGATCGGCGCCACGGTGATGGAGGGCTTCTACGTGGTCTTCGACAGAGCGCGGAAGAGGGTGGGCTTCGCGGCCAGCCCCTGTGCAGGTAAGCCAGGCTCCGGGGGGCACGGGGGCCGCTGCGTGGCGAGTGAGCCCGGCAGGCGCTTGGCGGGAGCTGGCCGCCGCGGCACCACTTGGCTCGGCTGCTCCCCGTGGGCCTGCGCTGGGTCCCTGAGAGGAACAGGCGAGGTCACCCCGGGTGTGAGGCCTTCAGTGCCGTGCGGGGCGGGGAGCAGCTGCCCACCGTCGTCCCTCGCGCAGGCCTCGCTCATTAAGCTTAAACCAGCAAAGCTGACCAGGGCCCGGAGCCGGAGGTTCGGTGTTTTGACAGTCAGAGCAAAGCCCACGGATCAACTGTGCTTGTTGATTTCTCAACTGTTCGCTACTGTGATCCTATTTCTTGAGGCCTAAAGCAGCCATCCAGGAGGCCGTTTCTGGGCGGTGGGCTGACGGCAGCCTTTCTCTGCAGGCCCGGCGTGAGGGCGTTGGCCAGGGGGGGAGGCCGCGCACGGACGGGCATCCCTGAGCTGGAGCGCGGCTTCAGATCTAAGAGTTTGCTTGCAGGGGGGGCGAGGGCAGCGCTGGGCACTGCAGGCAGGCCTCCCGAGCCGGCAAGGAGAAGGCAGATCTGGAAGGGGCGTGTGTGGGGATGGCTGAGGAGCCGGCAGGGAAGGGCCGGGAGAGCTGCAGCTTCCGAGGGCTGTGGGCTGAAAACATTCTAGGGAGAGGACTGGGGGTCAGCGACAGAGTGAATCCCTCAGCTGTGCGGTCCCTGCTGAGGGCGAGGACTAAGCAAATGTGAGCCAGGCCAAGGGTCTCAGGAGGACCCGGAACAGAAAGGGGGTCGAGGTGCCACCCAGGGTGTGAGTGAGTGAAGGAAAGAAAGATGAAAGGATCCTGAACCTCAGATGCGCCTGCTGGTGGCCTTGCTCCGACGGGACCCTCACGGCCCTTGACGCCCAGGCCCAGCCAAAGGGTTAGGAGGAGACGAGGGTGCGCGGGCACACTGCCTGAGGAGACGAGGGTGCGCGGGCACACTGCCTGAGGAGACGAGGGTGCGCGGGCACACTGCCTGAGGAGACGAGGGTGCGCGGGCACACTGCCTGAGAGATCTCAGTTACTTTTCTTACCATCTAGATCGTGGCTTTAAAATGGCAGCCCTGTCAATAAAGCAGGGAAGCGACGCCCAGGCCGGCTTCTGCAGCCATCACTCCCGAGAAGCCGCGTGGCAGCCCGGGCCAGGGGAGCAGCAGGGAGAGGGGTGCTGGTCTGGTCACAGATGGAGGCTCCCAGCCCGCACCCACCACAGGTCCTGCAGGCTCTTCTCAGAGATACGCAAAGCCTCCTGCCCCCATCCTAGTGGGCAGGGCAGCCGCCGGACACTTGAGAACATGCACTTCCAGCCCCGTGGGCGCGGGGAGGGGCACCTTCTCGGGGCCCCGCTCGGCTCACAGTTTCGCTTCTTGTAACCTAGAGAGCTAAACTGAAGCAATTTTCCCCAGGATTTCTGTTCTCTTGTTAAATACCATTAAAGCAGCAGCTACTATGGCAACAACCACATAATGTCCACCTTAGTTAACGCTGGGAGGGCGTGATCACGCGTGTCCAGAGCATCGCTGCTGGAAATAGCTCCACAGGCAGCATCAGACGGCGGCTCCCTCTCCCGCTCGTCACCACGGAGTCTTTGTCGGGGGCTCTTGGTTAAGTTTCTGTGTTTTGAATGTGTCCGAGGTTTGGTGCTTAAACATCTGATTTCACCCACAGCGGAACGTTCACAGACGGCTCCTCTTGGGCGCCAATTGTTTAGCTATTAAGGTAATGACTTTCCTCCGGCTGCAATTAGCTCGGGGTCTTGGAGCCTTGGAGGGGGAGCGCTGCCCCGCCATCTTCTATTTTAAAAGGCTTATTTTTAATTTGTAGCATGTTTTAAATAACAAAGGAAATGTTGTTGTAAATTGCGGGTAATTGCGGCCTCTGTGCCCACTTGGAACACCAGACTGCACAAATGCTCGCGCCGTGTCCCGTGTTTGCAGGAATGTGTCATAGTACGAAACAGGCCCCTTCCCCGGAGAAGCCTTTATCCGAGACCCGCGTGTTCGGACGTCATTACCGCACGCTTATCTATCTGCTGCTTGTGGCAACACACCCCAAAGTCAGCACAGTGGGGGGGGTGTTCAGGAAGGCAGGCGAGGCTTCACTGGCCGGGTTCGTTCTGGGGTCAAGAGGCCGCCGTCCCCTAGAGACCGGACTCCGAGCTCAGGCTCGCGTGGCTGTCATCGACAGCTCCGTGTCCCACCACGTGGCCTCCCGTTGCCACAGGCCCCAGGACGTGGGCCGCCCCAGCTGGTGATGGGGGTGAGGGTTTGGGGTGGAGAGGAGGGCGGGAAGGGAGGGGGAAGGTGGGCGCCGGCCCCACAGAGCACCCCAGACAGAAGCCACTGAGTTTTTATCACCTGATCTTGAAAGGGACACGTGTGACACAGCAGCCGTGGCGGGACACCCCCCCCCCCAGCCCTGCCCCTCGTTTCTAGGCTCAGCTACATATTTAAAAGTTGGCAAGAACCTTTCATTCTCATTTCTACGTGATACGGTGGGGATCCCCCTTTGGACCCACCCCCAGGGCTTGCTGGGGCCCAGGGCCTCAGGGCCTTCCCCCCCCCCGTGACACGTTTTCACACAGGCACGCCCCCTAGAAAGTGCTGTCAAGGACGAGGTGACCAGGCCCCCCAAGCCCCAGTTTTCATGGACTTTCTTGATCTGCTGCCCAGCTTTTGCTCCACCCCACACCCTAGGAAGCCACTGACCTGCCTTCTGTAGATCAGTTTTCACTTTCTACACTTTCCTGTCAGTGGAACTGCAGACGGTGTATCGAGCGTTTCCTCGACCTCGTTCAACGTAATTGTTGTGAGGGTGATCCGTCGCAGCTCCGTCTCGGCCACTGGTCTCATCTTATTGCTGAGCGATGCTCCGCAATGCGGGTCACCAGCGTCAGCTCGCTCCCGTCACCTGCTCAGCCTCGGGGGGGGTTTCAGGTGTTTTGACTGTCTTAAGTAAAGCTGCTAGAAACGTGAGCGTAAAAGTCCTCAGACGTACATTTTTATTTCTCTTGGGTGAACGCCAGGGAGTGGGCTGGCTGGGTCGTGTGACCGAGATGGTTTCACTTCCTACGACTCTGCTAAACCCTCAAAGGTGGGTTTCACCATTTTGTGTCCCCACCTGCAGCAGTGCAGCCCTCACCTGCCCCTGCCACCCGCCACCGGAGGGTCAGTCTTTTAAATCTGAGTAGGCGTTGAGTGGGGCCCCTCTGGTGGCGTTAACTCCCTAATGATCTCCAGCATCTCCCATGTGCTTGTTCGCCGTTCACACATCTTTGGTGAAGAGTCTTTTCAAATTTTCTCACCCATTTTTGTATTGAGTTTTTAGACTACTCTGTAATCAGAATATAAATCCTTTGTCAGATATGTGACCTGCAAATATTTTCCCTGTCTTTTCAATCTCTTAATGTTGTCTTTCAAAGTGGAGAAGTTCCTAATTTTAATGAAATAAAATTTACCATTTTTTCAATACATTGTGCTTTTTGTTGTAGTTGTGGAGAAAGTTTTTGCCTAACCCAAGGGCATGAAGATTTCCTCCTGTGCTTTCTCATAGAGGTTTCCAAAACCACAGGGGTTGTCCGGCAATATCTTTCTGTTGTTCACTTCTGTTGATTCTGCCGTGGACATGTACAGGGGAGAAATATTGAGGTGAGGCCAGAGGTGCAGGGTGGAGGAATTCATCAGAGACAGAGTGGAAATGAGAACAGAAAAGGCAGATTTGATTAAAATACCCTGCAATGTAGCAAGGGCAAGACGGGAGAGGTCTGTGCAGAAAGAAGGATTTTGGGGCTCTCCTTTATACTCTTTTCGCTGGCTTTCTAACTTGGGGCGCCAGTTTGCACCAGTTATCTACTGGAATATCTGTTCTCTGTCGCTGGCCTTTGGCACAGAAACATGTCCTGGCTGGTGTCTGCCTTTCGGGAATGGGCTGGTTTTTCTGGTCCTGGTGGTGGAGTCCCGAGGCAGCCTGACCACTCCCTTATCAACTCCCGCCTCCCAAGCCTTCCTGCTGGCCAAGGAGAGGCAGGACAGGACAGAGAATAGAGCATGCGCGGAAATTATTTTAGGTTTATTGAAACTTTCTTTATGGCCTAGAAGATCGTCTTTTTGGTAACTATTCCATGTGCCCTTGAAAACGATGTATAGTCTGCTCTGCTGGTGGAGTTTTCCTTGATTGTGAATTAGGTCAAGTTGTTGGTCGTAATCTATAACTTTGTTTTCTCTTTACTTGCTCTGTCACTCAGAAAGGTATTTTGAAATGTCTGACTATATTTGTGGATTTGTCTATTTCTGCTTGCAGTTTCATCATTCTGGTTCCACGTATCCTGCAGTTCTGTTATTCGGTGCATAAAGGTTTAGTATTGTTATATCCTCCCATGGCTTGTCCGTGTCATCATTATGGAATTACCATCTTTATTCTTCGTAGTCATCTTTGCTCTCAGTCTCATCTGTCTGATATTAACATCCTCGCTCTGGGTTTCTTGTGATTAGCATTGCCTGGCAGATCTTTCCCTATGCTTTGACTTTTAACATTTTGGGGTATTTGCATATAAAGTATATTCCTTGTATACAGCATATACTTGAATCTTGCTTTTTATATGATTTGATCATCTTTTTTTTTTTTTTTGAAGACTCATGTACTTAACTCCCATTATACCCACAAGTCACCAAATAAAAATACAAAGACTCCTAGATTTATGGTCCCTTGACAATCTCTGCATTTTGACTAGGGTGTTTAGGTCAGAGACTGTTAAACATTAGCCCACAAGCTAAGCCCACAAATGGTTTGTACATTTTTTTAAGTTTGTTGAAAAAAATCTGAAAAAGAACATGTGCCTGAAATCACATGTGAACCAAAACATCTGACTCGCTTCCTGCCTGGTCCTTTACAGAACACGCTGGCTGCCCCGCGTCCGCAATGTTTAGTTGAAAGCTCGTGCTTAAGTCCACA